GTTCTTGTTTTTCCATCTAACTTAGACCAGATTACTGGACCTAAGTACCTAAGAGAGTGCTTACCATAACGTGTTGTGCTTACTCTGGGAATAATGAAATCACTGTTTCTTAAATTATATCTATTATTATTAATGTCAAACAGAATCTTAATATTATTTGGGTACAGATCGTTTTTAACTTTATACATTAACACGGCTATATCATGTAATCTTCTATTATATAAGGTTGTTAATTTAGCCCTTTTAAGTAGATCGATATATGATGATATGCTATCACAGTAAACAGCCCTAAGGCCCGGTTCCTGTACCCTGTCTTATTTTCTAGAATCGAAAAAGTTCGTTTTGTTGACATCCTGTTTGCTAAGGGCACTCAGCACTTGTTTCATATCACTACCAATTGACGTCTGAACGATAGAGGCCACTTCTTCACGGTTTACTCACCCTGCAGTTTACTCACAGAAGTTCATTGCTTATAATCAGCATCGATAACCTCCATCCTTACTCAGCCTTGTTGCGTGTTTCTTAGTATTTTCATCTTAACTATTTTTCCTAAATTCTAATGTTTATAGTTTCCTCCAATCCTAATATTGACTTCTTGAGTGATGTGCTATCACCCGTGTCATCCTCTGACGCAACGAATCATTCGCGTGCGAAACTTGCACGTAAATGCATTTCGTGCTCGAGCGACTGAACTGATAATAACCTACCACAACACACTGTGAACGTCATTCAAGCGCTCCGAGGGGATTGTTCATTTACACTATAGCAAACAGGTAGCTCCACGCTTAGCAATGCGGGAATCGTTCTTCAACAGTATTCTCACTGTGTTCATTTGGAGCGAGGTTTCAACCCTGTACGTGCGTTGCCGAAACTTTTCTGGAATTCCTGATGAATCCAAGTTAGCTGGGCAGGTGGAACTCTGTTTAAGGAGATGTAACCTCAGCTCGCAAGAAAACGACACGGAAATATCAAGTGAAGAGGTAATCTAACAATTCCTTCATTTATATTTACAGCGGTGTTTATTTCAGTGTAATGAAAACTATTTTAAAAGGATGTAAACAAAAGCTCCGTGTATAAGATGATAGCTTTAATTCCTAAACAATATAGTTCAATAACGAATGATATATTTTTCAATTCCAATTCCATTTTTTTCTTCCTTAAGAGACTGTCATTCTCATCCTTCGACTGTCCTTTTCATTATCTTTCTATGCTCAAAGCATCTCGATGTAATAACCTCATTCGAGATAAACAAGTCCGATCATCGTTACAAACTTACCTCCTATGCTTTAAAAAAAAAATCAGCCTGACTATGAGCACCTCCTTCGTACCGAAATAAACAAAGTGTTACCTTTCAAGATTTTTCCCTGACGAGACGAAATTTGAAAAAGAACCAGCAGCGCTGTATTATTTAGGTGGCGGGAAGGATTGCCCAACATTGACCTAGATTGGCACTACTTCTGATACGAAAATATCGTATATTTTGAAAGAAAAAATGTTGAGGATGTCGGAAATAGAGTCAACCTAATTTACGGGCGCATATCAAAAGACCCTGAGGGTACATTACGCAGGAAAATTTTGCTTTAAAAAAAATGGATGAATGGTCGGGTCCAGAACGATCTTAAATACAAATTATTCAACTTAATCATTCAGTCAGAAAACTATTTTACCAACTTCAATGCAATATTTCTTGTTAGTTTGTTTTATTGTTATAGTTATAACCAAAAAATAAAAACCAGAGACCTAGGGAGCTAAAAGTGCTTTTTTGATCGTGATTTTTGACTGCTATTGCACAAGAAAGCATCATAATAAATCATGCCATCCCATGCCATCACATACACATACAGCACCAATACTACCTACTGTTTGGATAAAAATCTATTTAGGATGCGAACATGCTCAGTCTCCAGTCCATAATTTTGTTGTTTCGGTCGAGGGCAATTCACTGTATGTCTTTAAAATATATATATATGCATGCAATACAGATTGATGTCAACTTCTTACGAAGGAACAATATCTCATATCCTGTTTTTCCTTTCTATAGTCACATGGACGTCATCGGTGTTCTTACGAAATCTGTCGAGTTTTTGTCTGGAGGGGTGAGTAAAATTTTTACAGAAAGGAAGTGAAATGTTATTTTGTCTTGTATTGATAAAGAGAACATTAAAACTATGGGTATAAGACAAAGAGGTTATCAAAATTTTG